TTGAACCCTTCCATTCTGCAGGACTGTATGAAATGACACTCTGTCCTCGGTAGAGCCGCATGTGGCCCCATGGCCCCGTAGCTGCCAGGGGCCTACTGCTTGTCAATTTTGACAGCTCCTTACCATTGGAGAATGACAGCCATGCACGTCCCTTCTGCCCATTGCGTTGGTGTGGCATCCTCATGTGATCACATTGTATTTAAAATAAGAATTAGAGGTAGGAATTTTGAGGGAGAAAATTGTTTTGATTCTTACAAAAAGAGAGTTCCATTTTGAGAGAAAGAGAGGGGCAGAGAGAGATAGAAAGCAAGAAATCACCCCACAGGGTGTGACCGTGCTGCAATCCCTTCTCCATTCTACTCTCTGGAGTTTTGGTATGCATGAACACGTGCCTGGCATGAATTTAAGCTCCTAGGTCCAGGACTCGAACCACAGTCAACTACTTGAGAGTCCAGCTATGTAACCATTACACTTTCTGCTGCTCCCCAAAAGTGAAGCAACTGTAAATATTTACTACATGTGTGGTTTATTGAAGGGACAGGATATGATGTGTATGACTATACCTTAGCTTGACATTTAAGTGTTAATACAAGTCTGCTTAAATCGGATTTTCCTATTAACTGAAATCATCTAAAAAGTGACATAAAATACGGTTGTAGTATCTGCTTTGCTTCATTGTGTTAGGAGAACTCAGAGCTCAGTGTTCTGAACTTTGATTAATAGAATATTGAAATTTACTAAATTAACTCTGTAGTTCTCTTATGAGTCACTATTCAAAAGAACAAGTTCAAATTTATTGCTAAGAGTAGTAATTGGAGGTTTAATAAGAGGATATGCTCAATGAGATTCCCAAATGAGGGCCAAGTTGTTAATCGGATAATCTTTGCATACACAGAATTAGTCAAATTCTCATAGTTACACAGGCTTTTCTAGCAAGAAGTCATTGTGGTGTGCATCTGTCAGTTTACTGACCACATGATTTTCCAAGTGTCCTTGAGGAATCTGTCCAGTGTACTTGGGAAGGTAATGTAGCCCCATTAGAGCCGATGTATTAAGCACTTAGGTTTGCTACTTTCAGATGATTTGACAGGGCACACAGCGACATTAGCAAAAAGCTGAAATACTAATGGAATATTAACCTTGGCATTTTATGAATGGGATTGAAATTTATCATGTGTGCCTTAACACTGGGCTTTCCTTTCAGATGAGGGCAGTTCAGAAGAGGAACCGAATTTAATAGAAACTGTCCTGACTCCCCACTTTGGGCTCAGGCTTTATTCAAGGCTCACCTCACTGTCCAGCACTTTGCCTCCCAGAAAGTGTGTGAAGACCCCAGCACGTGGCCCCGTGAGGTCTAGCCTGTGCCGTGCATCTACCCCTGGCACCAGAGTTGAATGTCATATAAAGCTTTGAGGGGTTTTGCTGCAACTGACTGGAAGTTACTAAAATTCTTAGAGCAACAAAAGAGAAATTGTGTTTATACAACATAAGATTTCCCGTGTTTTCAAACTGCCTGTATAAAGTTAGTCACGGGTCAGCAGGTGGCACAGTGATTAAGGTGCTGGACTCCCACGTGGCCGACCACGGTTTGAGTCTCAGACCTGGTGGCTTGAAGATCACACCTGGGCGCATGCTCATGAGTGCTCAAAATTCTGAGAGGAGAATGGAGGAGAAGGGAGAGAGGTGTGGCCATCCCCTAGAGGTCAAGCGAGTGTGGTGATTTCTCACTTTCCCTTTCTGTGCCTCTCGTCTCTCTCCTTCTGGTGAGCACATGCACCCGGGGGAGGGGGGATCCTCTCTAATTGGATCTAAAATAGAAGTCATGATTTACTTTTGCCTGTTAAATGAGTCCAAGGGCATGGAAGATTATTATATTTCATTCTCCTTTTTTTTCTTTTTCCTTTTCTTTTCTTTTCTTTATTTTTCTTTCTTTCTTTCTTTCTTTCTTTCTTTCTTTCTTTCTTTCTCTCTTTTTCTTTCTCTTTCTCTCTCTCTTTTTCTTTCTTTCTCTCTCCCTTTCTTTCTTTCTTCCTTTCTTTTTCTTTTCTTTATTTTATTCAGCAAGGACAAAGTCTGTTCAGGTTTAGCAAATCTTATACAGTGTAGGGGGAGGACAGAAGATGCTTAGAAATGCCTCAGTAAGGTCACCACAAGTGGACCTCAAGGCACAGACAGAAAGTTGGTCCAGGCAGCAGAAGAGGGAGGGGGACCAGGAAGAAGGTCAGCTAATGAGGGAGCGCTGGGGGAAGGGAGTTCGGCCTGCACTAGAGGGGACAGAACAGCCGTTGTACAGAACAGCTCTGACCTGCCACAGAGGGTTGTTGGTGCAGGGTACTGCACATTGGGAAAGGAACAGACTCCTTGAGCCTCCAAGGGAGGCAGAAGGGACATGGTAGATGCTGTAAGAAGCTCAGCTAGAAACTATTGGAAGATGGTGTCGAATCCAACACATACACACGGTGCGGTAACAAACAGCTCCATGAGCCGGGGCTTGGCGCATTGAAGCCTTCTTTGCCATTGACTCATCACCTCTAAGAAACTACAAAACTGGTTTTAAGCTAATTAAGCGAATCATCAGACATCTCTGTAGACATAGAGATTCCATTAGGACTTCTAAATAGACAGCCTAGATCCAGATTCATGCTTGTTACAATCTATTCGAGACATGTTAACATTCCTGATCACTTTTAGAAGTTATAGAAATTTATTTTCAGCACTCACTTTCTTTGATTATGACAGAGATCCTGTGGGAAGCCCCAGAGGAAGATGCTTTCCTTTGTCCTGTTCATGTCTGAGAATGTGACTGGACAAGTCTCTGATTCTTTGTGGAAAGAAATTTCACACTTGGCTCACTAGCTTTTCTCCATTTGTTGATTTTGCACGTTGTGACTTTTTTGTTGGCCTCATACCCAATCATCACGTATACTGATCAATAAGCAGAAAGAGAAAACACCGACCATCCCATGGAACATTGCCAGGGTGCACGCCTATCCTCTGGTGATGGGATTACGTGGAGGCAGCGTTGGTTGAACTCAGTCCCTAACCTTCAGGGCACCGAGCCCGTCCGCCTAGAACTCACTTGATACATCATGACATCATGGGTTTGATTAACTTGAGACTTCTCAAACTGCTAATATCCACTTGGTCACAGAACACAGAAGACATTGAAGATAGATGGTAAATGTATGTATTTTGGGAATGAGAGCCAAATGATTGGAAGATAGAGTAGTTCTGTGTATCAGGATTCTGTGTATCAGCTAGTAACTGAAGTGCTGTGTGCTGAAAACAGAAATCCCATCATCTTTCCCAGAGGATCCAGAGACTGCCTAGGGAGTGAGCCAGACCCTCTACCACATGTGTTCTACATAATCATGATGGAGTTTATTTTCTTAAGTTTTAAAATACGAGTATCGGGACCAGCAGTTAGCGTAATGGCTATGTCGCTGGACTCCCATGTAGTCGACTGTGGTTCGCGTCCTGGACCCGGTGGCTTAAAACTCACGCCGGGCACGTGTGCGTGTGTACCCAAGATCCCAAGAGGAGATCGGAGGAGAAGGGATTGCAACATGGCCATCCCCTCTGGGGGGTGATTTCTCGCTTTCTATCTCTCTGTCTCTCTCTGTCTGGTGAGCGCCCGCGCCCTATAGTGAAAACCTCTAAAAAAAAAAAAAAAAGAAAACGAATATCTAGTTTTCACATCATTAGTATTTTCCTGGTAACTTGAGTTCCAAATGGGCCATTGCTGACTTAATATTTTTCATCCTTCTTACTTTTTCTCTGGCTCCTGGCTCCATGCAGAGGAGAGTTCCTGCTCTTTCAACATTTTGCCAAAGTCCAAAATTTGGATCTGCTGTTAACCACCTCCATCTTTCCAGGCCAGAGGTGGGCTGGAGTTACGGCCAGCCCCTCTTCTTCAAGCCACGCTCTGGGCCAACTCTGCTCCCTCCCTGGAAGGAGCTGCCCAAGTGATGTGCACTTGTGTGGACACCTGCCCTGAAAAACTGGGGCAAAGCTTATTCCCCTACCCCCTGCTCTCTCATCAGTTTGTCTAGAAAAGGAAAAAGTATATAAAAGACAGAAGAAAAGAAAAATGAGAGAAGGTGGGAGACAGGAAAAAAATGATTGAACAAATGTTTGTTCATTGACAATGGAGATCAGTGGCTAAACTCCACAATACATGAAGAATTTGGTGTTACCTACAAATTGGCATTTAAAGTTACTGTGGCATGAATATAAGTGTTATTGAGTTTAGAGACCAAAACTACACAAAATTTCATGTTATCATTTCTTTGTGTTCCATCTGCACTTTCTTATAGGTGACATTTTGGAGAAGCTAATATTTCCAACTCCATTTTTATAATAGTTCAGAGTCACCAGAGGGGATTGAGTACTCCTCATAGAGGAAATGAAATATTTGGAAATATTGACTATCTTATTTAGGAAACGTGGAATATTAGCTGACTTTATAAAGTGCAATAAAGCATGTGCTTTATCTCTAAAATGACCAAGGAAGAGAAAATAAGTACTTTCTATCTTCGACTGACCACTGGTTTCTGACATTTCAATATTACTTCTGCTTCACTACTTTAAAATCAAAAGAGATAAATAATATCCTTGGGAAATCACTTTCCTTTCTTTGTTCACCATGCTGAAGAATGTATATTTAGAACACAAAAAATATTAAGGAATATAATAACACAGTCTGACCTTAGAAAATCTGATGGTTTTTCAATATATACTTCTAGAATCTGTATAAAGAGGGTCTCAGAAAGCTCATGGAAAATCCATACGAAAAAACTGTGCATGAACTTCAGAATTTTTTGCACCAAAACAGACTTGTCCTTGAATTCCACTTTCCATGAACTCTAAGAAGCCCCCTCATATGTTAGCTTTTTAGGAAGAGTCTCCACTTGCACCCATCGCAAATCAGTGATGATTTCAAACGTGCATCCCCAGTCCTTTGAAACACCTGTCTGTCCTTCCTCTCCTCCTCGCTCCAGGAGCGGCTCCTGCTGTCCTTGCTGCCGGCTCACATCGCCATGGAGATGAAGGCAGAGATCATCCAGAGGCTGCAGGGCCCCAAGGCCGGCCAGATGGAGAACACAAACAACTTCCACAACCTATACGTCAAGCGCCACACCAACGTGAGGTACATTGCCCTGCCGGCTCCCGCAGGCTGGCGTCTGTCTGTCCAGCAGGCACTGCTCAGTGTGCCCACGTTTCCAGCAGTGTCTGCGCTGTCCCTGCAGCCTTTGCAGGCACTGGGGTTCCCACGCCACCCTTCCTGCTGCTGCTCTCGGGGCATACCACTACACTATAAAAACACAATCCTCTTTGCTTCATTGCATCGGCGTGTCCTTCACAGCCCTGCTTTCTGTAGCTGACCATCAGTCAGAAGGAACAAGGGGGTAATTGAATCCTTACACTGGGAACCCCACGGTCAGAGACACTGAGATCGGGGGCTAGGTCTGTGGGCTCTTTAAGCACAAGGACATATTCTTCAAGGTGGGCTTTACAGGGACACAGCCTCTGCGGAGCCAGTGTATTCACATTCCAGGGATATTGGGTGCTCTGCTGCATATCAGGAATGATGCATGTCTGGGGACTGTGACCAGCCAATAACCAAAGTCACAGGGGACACCTGTGCACCTTAATTAATTCATAGCAAAAGTTACGACTTATTCCGAATCCTCTTCTGAGAGAGTCATCCTATAATCACAGGCCTGAAAGCTAATATGTCATCGTCCTCGATTGTAGCCAGAAAGGAGAATAGTGTGGGGCCTTCATCTCCCCTAAGCTCTAAAGAGGGATTGTGAGGAGTTCCACTTCAGGCTGAAGAGGCTGTACCCTCCCACCTTCATCCACCACCTCCCAACCAGAGAGCGAGCCCATTGCGACCACAGTGTTCTTTCCATGAAGGACGTTGCCCTACACATTCTTATACCACCTCTTTGGGGGGTTTGTTCTTTCACCCATTCAGTGTATGGATGTGGAGCTTTCCTCTCTGGTCTAGCTGGGTTGTCTTCGAAAGTAACCTGTGTATGTGTCTGGCCTGATCTGTCCTGATTGATGGTGTTAGCTTCGTTGACGGAGGAAGCCTGTTCCAGAGCAGGCGCCACCTCCATGACGATACTCCGTTGGGCATCTCCTAGAGCTGGGATCTCCAAGTCCAGACTCCCTACAGCATGCGGCAGCCTCCTGGCCTGCTGCCTCAGGCCCAGTCTCTAAAGCTCATTCATGAGCGACAAATTTAACTACAACTTAAACAGACTGCAAAAACAAGCCTGCTATGACATCAGATTTTAGAAAAGGGTGTCTAAAGCCAGTGATCAACATGACCCAAGCATGCCCAGATGAAGGAACTCATAGCAGGAAGGAGGTAGCAGATAAATAGTCGTGTATTACGTAGGAACTCAGGAGGCACCATTAGATAGAGGACACAAAAAAGCTAAATATATTTAAGGAAAGTTCGTATAGGAGTGAAATTAAGTTCATTAAGAAGTGACATTATTTAAAACACTGGCCTGACTTCAGTTTGCAGGAGTGTTACCTATAAAATTAAATGGGAACATTCAGATATCTAACATGCTGGTTATACTAGTAAGTGCTCTTTTCAGAACTAGCTGTATGAAATTCAGCAATACCCATCCCATCTTGGGAAATATTTTTAAGTTAGTTATTGGGTATTCAAAACAAAGTTAAATTCACTTTCATCTAAACAAGGTAATGGCTGGATTATAACCCAAAACCAAACTGACCTATGAAAACTAACTAAAAATACCACCTACCTCAGTGGTTGAAGAGCTCATGCTATCTGTGTTAGCTATAAACTTCTATGTAACAAGTATTAACCCAAAATGTAGTGACTTAAAGAAACTATCATAATTACGTCAATTTCTGTGGGTCAGAAATTTGAGAGCAGCTTAGCTAGATGGTTCTAGCTCAGGCTCTGCGATTATGCTGCAGGCCAGATGTCAGCAACAGCTAAGAATCTGCTTTCAAAGAGGCCCCTCACATGGTTGACAGGTTAACTCTGGCCGTTGGCTGGGGGCCTTCATTTCTCATCACTGGACCTCTCCATAGGCCTCCTGAGTGTCCTCACAACATGGCAGCTCTCTTCCTACGAGCAAAGGATCCAAGAGAGCCAGGGGACCTGCAGTGTTTTTTCTGAGTTTGTGTCTTAGTTCATTTTGTGCTGTTACAACAGCTTATTACAGTCCAGATAATTTATAAATAATAGCAATTTCTTTCTTATGGTTCTGGAGGCTGGAAAGTCCAAAATCAAAGCTGTGACAGGTTTGGTTCTACTGATGGACTACTCTGTGCTTCCAAGATGAAGCCTTGAATGCTGTGTCCTACAAGGGAGACAGACACTGTTCCTGACATGGCAGAAAAGCAGAACAGCCAAGAGAGAGGACACCCCTGCAAGCCTTTTCTTCTAGGCATTAGACCCACCAATGAGGGTGGATGGCCTAATCATCTCCTAAAGGCACTACTTCCCGATACTATATATTTGCAATTAAATTTCATCACGAGCTTTGGAAGAAACAAATATTCAGACCATAGCACCTTGGAAGGCCATTTCTCATCAGCCCTATCCAGTGTGGGCATCAGTAGCAGGAGGTGAGGAGAGGGGCCCATCATGGAGGCTAACTGTCACAGTGTGTGAGGCAAATAATTGGCAAAAACAGCCTCCCCTCCCTTCGTTTTCTTCAGCGTGTCTGACTGTGTTTATGATACCAAATTAAATTTGAATTCTCAAAATATATTTGGAATCCAAAGTAACTTAAATACTTAGACATTTAAATGGCATAGAATTCCAAATTTTTTAATATGAAAAATGGCTGATCTATTCATTCTAAAATAAGACAGCTACAAGCAAAATAAGTAGATTCAATTCTTGGTTAATGCAAATAGTCCGGTCATTATATGAGTGTTAGTTTTTCAAAATAAATATTATTAGGTTTGTAGACAGTGCTAGTTGCCAACTTATGTTTCTTCTTGACTATTCACTCAACAAAATTTATTCTCTGCTAATATGTACTAGCTGTTTATTATTTGAAGAAAATAATAATAATCTAGCAATGTAAAAGCAACTACCATTTTCTTCCTGAATCTTCATTGTCTTCCTCAGAATCTTTCCCACTTGTTTTAAAACATTCACAGATACATTATGTCTTCAAAAACACCTAAGAACATTAAAAACAAGCACACGTCCCTTAATTTCATGCCACCATCTAATTCAAACCTCTTTCCTGCTTTTATAGCACATTCTGCAGAACTTTTTCAGTTCTAACTAATCTTCCTTATGTTCGCTCCTTCCTTAGATTGCCACCCTCTGGCTTTAAGCCCCATGAGGTCACACAACCCATTCTTATTAAATTCAGCACCTGTGTATCTCATCCCCAGATCTACACATGACTTCTGCATCCCTCCCTCACTGACCACTCAGATGTGCTGGAGCCCTTCAACCTTGGCCTCCTGCCTCAAGGACTCTCCCAGCCCTTGGTCTCCATGACTTTATTCTCTAGTTTTCTTCCTAGTCTCCTTTGTGGTTTTTCTTGCCTATGTCTAGCCTTTCCTGGAAATGAGTATTCTTGGGACTTTCCCATAGCTCCTGTGTTCTCTCCAGCTCTCTCCCAGGACCTTAATTCCCACCTGTAAGAGCCAAGACACAACACTCATTCATAGATTTCCACACTCACCAACCGAATGAGTATCTAAGACACCACCCTTAAGCTAACGCACCAGAACTGAACCAGTCTTCTTTCCCTACCTGCTTGTTTTGATTCGTACAAACCTAGGTTTATGAAACATATGGCTTAATCAGAAACTAGACCACAATGCTTTGTTGCTTCCTCCTCCAAGATAGTCACCCCACCCCAAACATCTAACATGTAACAACAGCTAGTTCACTCTCCTTTCAGCCTGCCACATCTGTCTACTTCTCTCCATTTCCTGATGTTATATATCTTCCTGAGGGCTCTCCTGTACTCCCTCTCAGGGTACGGTTCTAACTTCTTCTGGGTTGCTGCAGTCAGAAGGTCTTTCTAATGTGCAATTTGGTCAGAGTCCAAGTCAGATTCCTGTCCTGTGTGGTCTCATGGTGCACTGTGCTTCCTCTGCCATGGCCCTTTGCACATCATGTCACAATTCCCTGCTTACTTTTTAAATCTCTCTGCTGCAAAATAACCTCTGGGCCAGCCAAAGATACCTCCAGTCAGCCTACCATAGAGCTGCTTCTCCCACTACAAGTTTTCACCACCAGAAGAACCGAGGATGTTGTGAACAAGAAGGAAGTGAGGTCAGCTGCTGTCCACCCATTCTCCCTCCCCTATACCACCTTGGATCAGGCTCTCTTGCTCTGAGCCAGCAGAGTTGATTCTTCTGTTTGGACCGTGGCTCAGCAGCTGTGAGCCCTGCCTCTACAGAGGAGCATGAGAGAAACGGTGGGTTAGGGCATAGTCTGAACAGAGCAGAGAGCGCAGCAGCCCAGTGGCTGGGGTTTTTCAGACCCATTAGAGCTCATCAGCGAGGGCGAGTCCTCCTTCCCAGGTGAAGCCACGGTTGGTGCTTGGCACACGGAGCAGAGTGGCCAAGAGCAGAACTCCTGCCCTGATCTGGCTGGAGCCAAGTTGACTGGGACCAACTTACGGGACTTTTTTATTCTGTATAATATACAGAACATGTTTACATTGGAACCTTTTTTAAGTGTATAGTCAGATGAATATGAACATCTTGGTTGTTCTGCAACCCTCGTCATTATCCATTTCCAGAACATTCTCTTTATCCCACACTGAAACTCACATTATCACAATCCCACCATGCTGCCCTCCCCCAAATTAAGTGATCAAGTTTAGCAGAATGTTGATAAATTTTCTATGCAGGGTAGTAATATTTTTCTCATGAAATGTAAATGTGAAATGTAGGAACAAATCAAACTCTTTTAATGGCAAAAAAATATTACTACTTTCTTAGCAAGTATCAGCTTGCAAAAACCCTGGCCCTCTCTTTGTCCCCACAGTATCTTATACGCGGACATCGTTGGATTCACCCGGCTGGCGAGTGACTGTTCCCCAGGAGAACTGGTCCACATGCTAAACGAGCTCTTCGGGAAGTTTGATCAAATTGCTAAGGTGAGCATTTCAGACCCCCGCCCACCCCAGCGGTGTATGAGACCTCGGCTTGCTTCTCCTCCACGCCATTGCCGATGTTTTCCCTTCTCATGAAAGCATGCCTTAGGAATATCTTCTGTAAAACTGGTTGGATTTGTTTGCCTTTGGATGTCTCAAACCTGTATCAGGGACGAGAAACACCATAAAGTATAACTGTCACATGTTGTCATCTATTTTTACAACTGCCGCTTGCTTATATTGAATTCAGCGCACATGTGATAAATTCATTCAAGAGGATGAGATTCAGTACCAGTCTCTGCACTGTGCTATTTTCAGGTGCTATGTCAGGCATTTCCATGTCAAGGAGATGGTAAGCTCATTTCTTCCGCTCATCTGATCGTAACCATCCTGTAACATGCTGTTAGTGGGATCTGGAAGAAGCCCTAAAATAAGACTCATGCCTTCTGCACAAGTCCTGAACTTACTTTTTTCTCACTGTGTCCTTTGGCTCTTCCACCATGTAAACAGAAATGTAAGTTCAATGTTTGCTGTTCGTATACACATTTGGAGGGAATTTCACAGATAGGAAAAGATAGGAAAAGATGACAAGTCATCTGAAACCACACCAGAACTTTCAGGAACTTCTAGGGCTGCTGGGGGAATACTGGTACAAAACAAAGCTCTTCCTCACCAGCCTTTGACTTCTCCTAAAATGATTCTGGTCAGTCTAATTCCATCTTGGAGTTGTTCCCAACAAAAAGAACCTCATTATGCCTATTGATATTAGTTATGTAGTTCACTGTGTGATTTATTTCACTTTAAACAATACGGAACATTCCTGCCCAGACTTTTAGGAAGAATTCCAGCCTGCAGATGTTAGCGCGTCATCCTTGGGTCGAATGCCCTGAGGATGGTGCCCCGTGCTATCTGGCTGACCTTACTCGCTCTCACTGGTGTTTTTGAACAGCTAGTGGTTGGACAGCTCTACTTCCTACTATTACCAAACCAAAGGAAGAGGGTGAGTTTTATGGGTGCTCATTTATAAAGAAAGACAGGATGAAATTTAAATAACGTCTTAAAATTTTGAATTAGTAGAATTAAGGACAGCAGTCATAGGGCAGAAGGGTCTTAATGAATTACTTCTGCAATGATCTATTTGCAAAATGAGGCCACATTCTCAAGTTTCAAGGGGAAGGACTTCTACATATGAATTGGGGTGGAGGGACGTCATTACCCATAACACAAGTATTCAGTGTGACTTTCTGTCTTTCCTTACCGTTGGAACGAAGGAATGTCTAGGCACCTGCTGAATCTAGTCTAGAGTGACTTGGTCACCCGTTGTTGACCAGAGGAGCGCCATCTGTGGATATCGGTTCATAATACCATGTGGGTTGAGAGCACCATAAGCAAACGGCCCCGCCTGTGAAGGCACAGAACTTCTAGCTAAAGAACTCAACATCATTACTGCCCACTGGTGGTACCCATCATGTTTTCTGATCCTGAAATACATTTAGGGAGAACAGGAGGAAAGCCTGTTACTAAGTGATTACTGTTTTCTTACTTATGATCTTATTATTAGGAATTACTAAGCAGGACATCCACATGCCGTAGATGAGCATGGAAGTACTTCATTTGCTCACTACTAGAGAGGGGAAGAGAGAGGCAAAGTTTTCTACAAACCTAACACATGCTTAAGAACAAGAATATGTTTGTTTTTTTATTTCAGATTTGTTCAGTTTATACATAAGCCCGTGATAATGTTAGAGTAAAAATATCTGTGTTTGGCACACATTTGTTTTTGTTTCATTTTACAGAAGAGTCTATAAGCTGGTTGAAAAGATTAGAAACTGATTTAGGATTGATGCATATGAATGCAGTTAATCTAAATATTATAATATAAATACAACTCAGCCAAGAAAAATAATGAGTTAGAATTTTATAGTAAAATGGCTTGGCCTAAGATCAGAATTGTTTTAAATTACTTGCCAACATTGAATAGTGAATTACTGGATCATAGAGATGTTTATTGAAAGCTATATGTCTATCGAGAACTTGCTTCAGGTTTTAAAATAAGTGAAAACCATCAGAATAGTAGGGATGACATAGATGCTAATTAAAATTGAGTCCTCCTTTCTATCCTGAAAGTGTCTATACCACAAAGACTGTTTTATTTTACCATTAACATTTGGCGATGTTCAGTCTAAAGAGAGTGATTCTATAGTTACCCACTTCTGTTCATTTTATTTTTTTTTATTTAATTTCATTTAATTTTTTTTAAAGAGGTTTTTGCTATAGGGTGCATGTGCTCACCAGAAAGACAGAGAGGAGCAGAGACAGAAAGTGAGAAATCACCCCCTAGGGGTATGGCCATGCCACAATCTCTTCTCCATTCTCCTTTTGGGATCTTGGGCATGTACCCTCACGTGCCTGGCATGAGTTTAAGCCGCCAGGTCCAGGACTCGAACCATGGTCATCTATGTGGGAGTCTAGAGATATAACCATGATGCCATCTGCTGGTCCCCATTTTATTTATTTTATTTGTTAATATTTTGCCATAGGGCATGTGCACTCACCAGAAAGAGACAGAGACTGAAGGAAAGAAAGTGAGAAATCACCAGCAGGGGGAAAGGCCACATCACAATCCCTTTTCCATCCTCCTCACAGAATTTTGGGCATGCACATACACACACCTGGCATGAGGTTCAAGCCACCAGATCTGGGACTGAAACTACCATCCACCATGTGGGAGTCCAGCACCTTAATCACCATGCCACCTGCTGGCCCCTTCCTCTACTCTTTTTAAGTATAAATCTTTCCAGAACCCTCTATCTGCTTTCTCTTTTTTCCCCTTTCCTTTCCTACCTGCTTTGGCAAATGGGCCTGTAGGTGACGGTGGCTAAGTCTTGTTGGGAGATGAAAGGAAGTCTGACGACGAGCTCTCCATCCTGACTCCCTGGGAGTGTCAGTAGAGCCCGCTCTTGACGCCGTCTGGCAGATCTCTAGCACGGGGATGTACATAATGCATCTGGGACTCTGTGCTTTCTTCTTCCAGGAGAATGAGTGCATGAGAATTAAAATTTTAGGAGACTGCTACTACTGTGTGTCCGGACTCCCTATTTCTCTCCCCAACCATGCCAAGAACTGTGTGAAAATGGGGCTGGACATGTGCGAAGCCATAAAGTAAGTGTGCTTACTTCATAAGCTTTTCAACTGCCTAACCATTTGGAGTTGTAATTCTCACCTGTGACCATTCCCGTTTTTCTGACTATTGATACCGAATACATTATTGCACATTTAAAAACAAATGTGCAGAGACCTATGTATTTGCACGAGTGGCGCCATCCACAGGAAGACTTCTCTGAGTGTTGACTATTGTAATGAACAGCCTGAGATCACCATGAGCCTGTTAGGCATCTGCGGGAAGGGACAGTTTTGTTTGTGTCAAAGGTGATTTGTGGAAAGTTGAATGTCTTCTTTGTTCTTAAGGAAAATGTCTGCAGTCATGGCATCTCTCCAAGTTCTGAAAAATAGGGCTGCCTACATGTTGTAAGAGAAAAAGTGGTTTTTACCACCTAACTGCAAGTACTATAAAAATCCAGCCCCAAATTACTTCACCCAGTCAAAAATGCTCAGCTCTGTGAATTTACCTTTAATTTACATCCATAATATATGTTTTCTGCGTCACGTCTCTAGTTTCTGCCATTGTGATTTTAGGGAAGACGTGCTCCTGGGGAATAATGCTGTCCTTCCTCTCTCAGGTGCAGGGTAGCAGGGTGTGCTGACAAGGTCATTTCCTTCACAGTATTCTAATGAACCCTTGTTTAGCAATGCCCTTTGTAGAAGCCAGAATATTCATAGAAATGATAAGACATTTTTGTTTGTGGATTGCATGGTTGGAAGAGTTCAGTTTATTGGATTTTTTTATTTTCTCTTTTGCCTTATCTTTCATTTAACTTTAAAAATCTTAACAGGGTTGAAATTATGTGCTTAACATTCAAGTTCTTTGTCCTGGGGTTACAGAAAACAGGGCTCTACCTGTGAAAGCAACAAGTCCATTCGTCTCTGTGCTTGCCCATGGTGTGTGAGTCACATGCTGGCAGGACGAAGAGGTTTATAGGCAAGGAACATGGCTGCTCCACAGCCGCAGCCGTCAGAGGTCAGGACGAGATCTCTCCGGTGGCTCGGGGAGGCCTCGCTGCTGTCCACCAGCTCAGTGACAAATGAGCACAAGTGCTGTTGGAGCAGTCGGGGCTGGGAAGGGGACAGGCAGTTGGTGAGAGCATTGGGGTGGGAAGGTCGTCGGCCCCATGTGGGAGACTCTGTGGGAGATGACCGTGGTCTGCTTACCTCTTTGCCTAAGTCAATCACTTGTTTTCTCTGAGTCAAGAAACACGTTTT